GTAGCTCAAACTAAGTTCCTTAACAGCAACCCAGTATACTCGCCGAAATGGACTTTTACGTAGGTTCTTCCAGGCTTAAGGGGGAATGCGGGCGCGGTAGCACACTCATGCCGGCAAGACACCACCATCCATAAACTCCAGCGCCAGCCACACGCATTTCCGAGGAGGATCGAACCTCACTCTCACTGCAGGCTCTGGGATTCTTAAAACTCCCGATCTGCTATTGTTACTAATTATGATTTCTATTATTATTACTATTTTGGAGGGCCCTTGTCGGAAATAAACTGAGCAATACTTGTTCTCAAAAACTGGCATCCCCGCTCAGTGATGCTTGGAAGTGAATGCAAGGAGCAAGAACCCTCCCAATTCTACCCCATACCTCCCAAGGACTTCTACCACACCCTTGTGAGGACATGATTCTTTGCCTGGCTGACTTATCCCGTCATCCCTCTTAACTCTCAGATTTAACACCATGTCCCTGGGTGTCCCATGGCTGCTAGAGGACGAAATATGGAGGTTTCCCTAAATAAGGGATACCTTTTTGGGGATCCCTAAAATTAGGACTATAGTAGATTGGGGTCTATATTGGGGTACCTTAATTTTGGGAAACTACCATATCTACTTAGTGGAGCACGCGCGATCATCAATCCAAAGCTTACCCTTAAGCCATGTCTGCCACAAGACTGGGTTGCTGTTAAGGAACTTAAATTAAGTTACTATATTGGGGAAACCATATTATTTACTATATATACCCATTATGGTAACTTAATTTAAGTTCCTTAACAGCAACCCAGAAGAATGCTTGAGTGCGTGCGCGGCGCTGCACGTCGTGACACGTAACGATGTGGGGATGGCAAAGCCGTTGCATCAGCTGAGCCTGCAGCGGCTGCTTGCATGGTTTGAGTTGTAACCGGTCTTTTCCCTCAACAAGGGGAGACATCCCTAAGCCCGAAACCCTAAACCATAATCCCTAAACTGTAGTCCCTAACCGTAAAGACTGATTCCTAAGATTCAGAAGTTTAGGACTGAAGGTTAAAGAGGTGAAGGATAAGAACTTACGCTATGGATTTGTAGGGCTCAGGGTCCACATGGTTCACAGAGGGGACTCAATGGGAACCGCAAACAGGGAACCCCCGGAACAGAGTAGGAATATAATAGGAATGTGAGGACGGCGGTAGGCATACTCCTACTATGTCTTCCTACTATATTCTTCTCATATTCTTAGGGTTCTTTGTTTGAGGTGCCCATGACACGTAGACTCGTATTGTAAAGCCCGGATAGCCCTAGGTTTACAAAAGGCAGCCTAGAAGGGCCATGCACGGATCCATGTTGTCCCCAGGTTACATGACTCTAGTCACCCACCTTTTTCAGAAATGGTAAGACTCACGACATGCATCCGCACATGCCATGGGAGGGTGCAGCCCTTGATGACCGTCTAGGGTTTGGGGACTACGGTTTAGGGATTAGCGTTTAGGATTTGAGCACTAGGGTTTAGGGATTGGGGTTTAGGGTGGATCGCCAGAATCCCGCGTAACCCCCGTAAGTATTATCCTTGTTTTTGAGCCACTCCCATCTCAATTTGAGATACTCAACATGCCCGAACCCATGCCTCCTTATCCTAAAGAGCCCCCGGAAGCAGAATACAGACAGAATAAGAGCATAGCCCTTAACTTGTTGTAAGGATCTGCCCCTAGACTTAACCCAAAATCCTAAAAACCCTAAACCCTAATACTTAAAACCCTAAATCCTAAAAACCCTAAACCACGCCTCCGCCATGGTCGTATCCGCGGCTCTTGCGGCCTCCTCATCATCCAGGTGATCGCAGGGAACCAGCTTCAGCGCAAACCTTTGCGATCTGAACCCCGCGAGACCCTAAGGATGCTGATGGTTAGCATTGAGGGTTGAGGGTTCAGGGTTAAGGGCTTAAATCCCTATGGGTGGTTGTCAAAATGATGGTCCCTTTTTGGATCCCTATTATTATACGGAACCTAATATTGAGGGTATCATAAAAAGGGACCATAATTTTGACAACCACCCCTATTAAACAAGGATCATATAGGGGAGCCCGTTAAGTTGGAATGCCACACTAGCTAGGCCCCCTTAGTCCTTCAAGAAACTATGCCATACACGCTCGGCTGGAGAAGTCGGGCTTAGGGCTCAGGATCTAAGTGTGAAACTAGGGCTTTGCGGTTTGGGGTTGAGGGGTTCAGGGTGCTTGGAGATCATACAGGCATCTGACAAAGTTGAAGTTCTTCTTTGCGGTCGGAATCTGCCAATGTTGGCGGAACAGTGGGTTTAGAGGCGAGTTGAGGAGCCTCCACAGGTATGTTGAGTAAAGATACTAGGGGCTTCTTCAAATGAGGGGTACCCGTGTTGAAATAACTACAGCCGCACAGACACGTGGGAAATGTGAAAGTCATCAGCAACAGTCTTTGAGCAGCTGCTGGCTGCTGTACAAATGCGTTGTGCCCTTACCCTGCACAATTACACACGGCCTGGCAAGAATCAGAACTTTCAGAAAAACCGTTTTTGATGAGGTCAAGGGCAAATAATTGTGCTTTCCATCTGGCTCGTTAGGGGACCCTTCCATGGTTTATGCCGGAGCGAAAGCAGTTGTTGATTTGCCACAAGCTCTGGAACCTGCAGCAAGAATTCCTCCACAACTTATGGGAGACAATACGCGTCCCCTCAAGGTACAGGCCCCAAGACCGGATTGCTGTTAAGGAACTTTAAATTAAGTTACCATAACTTGGGTATATAGTGAATAATAGGGTTTAGGGCTTATAGTAACTTACCTATAGGGTTTAGGGTTTATAGTAACTTAACTTCATTTCCTTAGCAACAACCTAGAAGAAGGCTGCGATGAAGAAAGGACTTTAGATCAGCTCCACGAGCCTGATTCCAAGGCTCCCTGCAAAATCCCTACGTGCGCCCCCCATACATCCCTTAAGATATGAGCCACTGGGTTTAGGGTTTAGGGTTTAGTGTCTAAACTCCTAGTATCCCCCTTAATAATGGAGACCCCTATAGTAGGCCCCTATGTAATCCCCTGTATAACCGCCCTTGAAGGAGTTTAGACTATGGCTCATATAGGCGCACCTGGCCCCGTATGCTATAGTCCTGGCTCTGGGGACCCCTGAAGAAGGTTCAGACATGAACATGGGGTTGTTTCCCTAGCCCGCCCGAACTAGAATCCTTAGCACTGGACTCCCCAGAAGGAACTGCGCGTTGGAAACCCGAACCCCCAAACACATAGTCTCTTCCAACATGACATGTCCCTGTATGTGGTGGCACTTTAGCTTCTGGCTATGCCCCAGGGCTTCTATGCACTTGCCACAAGTACACTCATCAACATTCCTTTAAGAAATGGATCGAATGAGCCCACAAAAAACAAGAATTGACCATCCCTACTTCATACGACCCATATTACGTGCTAAAAGGTCTCCTATGTCACACATCTTATTGCTCGACGAGAAGCTGCTGCAGCCCTGCATTCTGAACAAGAAGCCTTGGCACTGACATGCAAGAACTGAGACGTCGCTTATGGGGCTTCATATGGCTATTTCCGAGAATAGGGGGAACCCAATATAGACCCCAAAATACTATAATCCTTGTTATGGGGACCCCAAAAAAAGTATACCTAAGTTTGGGAAGCCCCAAATGAAGGGGAAGAGGATTTTGGGTTTACGGTAGATTCTACAGATGGTCTAGGTCTAGGCGAGGCAAGGGCCAGACATAACTTATACACTCATGAAAGCCAGTTATACTGGGATAATATAGAAGAAAATGGAAACTACTATATTATAGGGGTTATGCAGGTGTATAATATTAGCATGATGGGAAAAAACTTACCTTTCCTCTGTCACCGGTGCAAGCGCAGAATTGTCTCTCAATCGGTCCAGCCTTCGCAACTTACTAGTGCATAGTGGGTGGCGGAGTGAGCTTGAGTACTACCACAAGGGTATAGGCATGGATTACATTCAGGGATCGATCCCTCACCTAATCACCGCTGGTCCAAGGGCCACTGGAATTCGGACAACTCGTCCCATGGGAACCCCTCAGCACCTCAAGATGAGTATCACCCTTGATAACCCTTATAACACTCCCCTATGTACTCCCTATATAAGCCCCCTGAAAAGTTTAGACTACGGCTCATATTGAAAATGCAAAGTTTCAATAGTTGTTGCCGAACTTGTCTGATCCCTCCCACATAACTACTGGAACCCCACCACCCACTAACAATAGATTTGGTTAGGAGTTATCATGGGGGGAGGGAATCAAGACGCGGAAAGTCGTGGATGTCTGTATCTCTTTCGCCTTGCCAAGCTTTTAACACCTAAACCTAAGGTTAACAGATTAAGGCAGTAAACTCGAAACATCTACATCCAAATCCACAAAGGGATTGCTATACTCTACATCCCAAGCCCCCGATGGTCAGGCTCTATCAACCATAGACCTCACATATTGGACTCCCTTGCATATCCCTATGCATTGCTAATGTGCTGGCAGGCTGCACAACCCCGAAGCTACCTCGACCAAGAAGTTGTTGGACCTCATAGTCGCCGATGCGGTCACCGGCGTGAGCAAACATCGCTCGCGCGCATGCTGCTTCTGTGGCTGCCCATGGCCGGGGCTTCAGATGGGTCAACTACTGGCCCAAAAGCTGGTTGCTGAGAGCTGACGACCTTGAACTTTGAATGAGGGCACTGCAACGCTGCGCTGTCTATTGAGATGTGTGAGTTTGCGCGCGGAGGTTTTGCTCCTGCACATCTCTTTTCGTTAGCGCGAATTTGTGTAGGCCTTACAGGCGCTGCTTTGGAAGGCCGCCTGAACAGTAAAGCTGCCTCATATTATGCACAGGAATCCAGCAGAGTCCCTTTACAAGGAGCAGCTGCAATGTGGTTCTACTTGAAGCAATAGCATTCACGCAGCACATAGGCTCAGATATGATCCTATAGAAATGGGGGTTTCCCAAAATTAGGGGTACCTTTTTGGGGGTCCCTATAATAAGGACTATAGTATTTTGGGGTCTATATTGGGGTCCCCTTATTTTGGGAAACTACCAAATCTTGGTGAAAACAAAAAGGAGCTTCCTGTTGCATACTGGTGGTAAGCAGGGCATGGAGGAATGCATCCTCATCGTGTCCATACTCTTTTCGAGTCTATTCTACGAACCCTAGCCCCTAAGTGTAGGGTTTAGCCCTTAGCATTAACTCCCATTTGCTTTTACATTCGTTCATGTCTTTGTAACAGCCAACAAGCATGAATCCACCAATCTCCTAATCCACCACTCTCCTGGCACAAACCACTCCGGATCCGAAGCATCTGGGTAGAAAGCCAGGAGTTGACTGCTGCCAGCCTAGCCAGAGGCGCGCCGCATAGCTTCAACAGACATTCCCTTACTGGTGATAGTAAAGACTACGGGAGTATAATCCCTGTAATGCCTATATACTATCTTCCGTTATTCCCTACTGCCCCCCAGTAATCTCCGAGACAAAGCGCCAGACAGAATATGTAGCGCTCATCTGCAGGTACATTGGGTCATTCAGGGTTATGTAGGGTTTGTAGGAATAAAACGGGGAAATCTCACGACTATGCTGCTGCCAAGTTGACGGAATGCTAAACTCTTGTCTCATGGATAGGTTTACCATGATATCGTTGAGCCCCGCTGTACTTGAGCGGCTGAGCCCAAATCGTCGACAAGTCTCACGGCTAAGTATACTTATAATCCTTTAACCCCTATATGACCCTATATCCTCCTTTACAAACCTATATGGCATCAGCTTGCAACCCATAGCATTGTACATGGATAGTGGAAAAGAAAATGGAAACTACTATAATAGTGGGGTTATATTGGGGGTTTATATGGATAGTGAAAAAGAAAAAGGAAACTACTACAATATGGGGTCTATATTGGGGCTCTGCATACTTGGCATAACAAGGTCCGGCCTTGACTGCTTCACCTTAGAGTTTGTACTCTTGGGTTGGGGTCCCTCAACCATGGAATATAGCCCTTGATAAAGGCATTTGGGACTCCAAACCTAAGGTTACAAACGTTAAGGGTACAAACTTCAAGTCTTTGAACTGCACTTGTTGGTAACCATGCTGGGTTTAGGGTTATGACCAGGAATACCAGATAGAAGCAGGCTGTAGGCCAACAAGTCCTGAGCTCCTAGCATAGGACAACATGGCAGTAACCAGCACAAAGCCCTAGAGAAATACTCCATGTCAGGACCCTTGACTAAGCCACTCTAAACACTAAACCTTACGTCCTGAACCCAGAACCCTACCCTAACTCTAAACCCAGAACCTTACAGCAACCCCGGGAACAACCTAAGCCTCTACACTTGAAATAATGAACTCCCCACCCCGACCCCTAAACCCTATAACCCCATCAACCCTAAACCCTATACCGTACAAACCCTAAAAACCCTATAAACCCTAAAGACCCTATAAACAGTATGAACCCTATAAACCCTATAAACCCTATAGACCCTATAAACCGTATAAACCGTATAAACTGTAAAAACACTTTAAAGCCTAAACCCTATAAACCCTATGCCCTATAACCCTCATTTGAGGGTGGGGGACTCCATTACCAGAGGAAGGTGGTGGCTTGATGTGGGGCTCAGGGATGGTTTAGGGTTTAGGGTTTATAAGGTTTAGGGTTTTATAGGGTTTATAGGGTTTATAAGGTTTAGGGTTTATTGGGTTTTAGGGCTTATTGGGCTCCCCCACCCTCAATACAGTCTGACAGCGCATTGAAAGCTCTTTGTCACTAAGGGGACATGTGGGCTATGATTGATGGTGACGGCTACTGTGCGTAGTATTATTCTGGGGGTGGCCTAGGCCTTTATGTTTTTGGGCATGATGATGATTAATATTCTGGGGAGTGGCCTTAGGTATGTTCCTGAAATCTAAAGATAGGTCTGAATACGGCTATCTGGGTACAGGCTCTGTTCGCTCTCAACACAACGCATAAGGCATAATCTCAAGCAAATAGTTAGAACAAAGTTTAGCGGCATATTAAGCTACAGGCGTAAACCCTAAACCCTAATGTTTCTTCCTACAGCCGCTGCGGAGCCTACGTGAAGAACGGTCTAGAAAGAATGCAAGGAGCAGTTCTCCAAATGGGTTTAGGGTTTAGGGTTTACATGGATGCAAAACAGCCCTGTACATCATCCTTCGATCGATAAGAATATCCACAAGAAGGTTTGCCAAGCGTAGCCTTGCGGAAGGACTGTGTAGAAGATACAAGGGGAACCCGGGCGCGGGAAGCCAGCAGATGTTGCTTGGTTCCTGTATAATAATTAGGGATCATATTAAGGGCCATACATACTTATATTCTAAATATTATCTAACTGTTATTGAGTCGGGGCAGTACCCAAGATTTAGCGCCCTTACAAAAACCTACAACCCCAAGACCCTCGGCTCTGGACTTTAAACCCGAACACTCGGATACCTCAGAGTCTATAGTCCCCCTTAAGTAGATAGAATTTGGCTTGGGGATATCATAGATCCCCAGAACCCCATATTCTATCTACCTAAGGGGGATTATAGTTGTCTAAGAGGCACTAAGAGGCACTGGGCTTCTTGGAAGCACCATGCAAAGATCTGGGGCGTTCTCAAACGTCTAGGCTCCCTTGTTCTTCATGTTTGGGGTTCAGGAGTTTGGGTTAGGCGGGCGAGATCATGACTAGGCAATCGTTTGGTTATGGTGTACTGCACTGAACCTACTAGGCGTTATGAGTTTGCAAGAACCTCCCCAGCAGGGGCTCCTGCCGTTGATCTGGATAAGCATGATAAGACGCACCAACGACATCTATCGTCTTCCTTAAGTAAATAGAATATGGGGTATATGCGGATCTTATTATACTATACCTAAAGCCATATTCTATCTACTTAAGGGGGGCTATACAGTTGTAACTTCAAGGCCTTGGGGTCATAAGGGCCTATCACATGTTCCAGTCTTCCGACTCAGTCTTGTCTTACCTACCCCAGACTCCTAATTAATAAGCCCCTTCCCCTTAATCGGGATTATAATAAGGATCCTAATTTTAAGGCCTCAAAAGGAGGGGGTTCATTAATCATGGGTCTACATTAGCTCTTGACACACCCCAGATGCATGAATTCAGCACACAGGCTGCGGCGCTTCCTTTGGAAACGACTTTGGCCGCCATGAGGTAATGGCTAGGTTTGGGCTGTCCCAACCTAGGGTTTAGGCTTAGGGCTTAGGAAAGTGACCACGTGGGATAGTGGTTTCCCCTCGGTATCAAACACACCTCTCTCCCCCAGTATGAAAGATGATCATCGCTATGCTTGGCTTGCTAACGGGAAAATTCAATTTTGGAGGGTCGGTGCAATTGTTAATCCGGGGAAGCTATTTAGAATTCAAGTATATAGGCTTCCTATCAGTATCCTTGTTGGGTCAGAGCGGGCAGTCGCAGGACATCAAGTAAGCAGCAACATGCTGAGCAACTAGCTCTTCTTGAGGCCTTGAACGCATGGAAGTCCACCAAGCGAAGTCCTGGAATTGGGATATAAGTTAGGTGGACCCCCCACCCCATAATAGTGACTATAAGGGATAATAGTGATTATATCCTAAGATGTAAGGTTCAAAGTTTAGTGCCAGTTTCTTGCTGCCACCTTCCAGGGCGAGCTGAAGGCCGAGCCACAGGCATCACCCAGACCCAGCACCCGAGCAAACACTGTAATGGCCGCTCACAGAATCTCACGGATGGCCGCCTACCTGGAGGTTTCTCCAAAGAGGGGTCATTCAGGGCCGGTATCTATGTGGATTTTGAAGGGGTTCAGGGGGTTACCTTTTTAAAGCAAAATGCGGAAATTCTCACCTTGCAAAGCAATCTTGGTTGGCCTTTGGAGCCATTTGAAAAATATTAGGAGTTTGGGAGTCCTTATGAAACCTATAAGGGAATAATATGTTTAAATATCCCAAAGGCCAACCCAGCAATTGAGCAGCAAGCGAACAAGCAATGCCTTCAGGACCACAAAGGGAAGATGATGGCATCAGAAGGATCCTCGACAACCTTCCGGACAACTGCCCCCCAAGACCTGTTACAGCAGGAGTGTCACTTTACACTCACCACCTTCCGATTTGAAAGACAACATGAATAGCACATCTACGTACACCCTTGCAAGCACACCTAAACCCTAAAACTTAAACCCCCAATGTCTAGATCCTAAGCGCTACACCCTACCTCCTGAACCCGACACTCTACACCCGAAACCCCAAATCCTACCCTCTACACCTAACATCTGTCGGGTAACAAGTCTCCACCTCAAGCAGCGTCTGCCATGGCCTTCTGCAGATTGTTGTTTAGGGTTGTAGGTTTAGGGTTCACGGGTCTGGGATTCCAGGTGTCTAAGGTTCCAGACACAGATTGAGGCTAATCAAGGATACTGGGACTTAAACTCAAGACTTAGGACAAAGGACAGCGGTCTTTCTGTGACAACCCAAGCCGTAAACCATAAACCCTTCTCAGATTTTATGTTTGGGTCTAGGCTCATTCTGGCACTCGCCGCTCCACCACCCACCCTTGCCATACTCCTGGAATCAGTAATTGGGGCTAGAGTCTATAGAAGTTTAGGGTCTCGGGTTTAGGGTTGCTGTAGATGTTTCCATGCCCGAACAGAAACTACTAGACAAAAAAAGCACAAAAAGAATGCTCATGAATCATTGAAGCCCTCGGGTCTGAATCCATGAGCTACTTACCTAGTAATGTGCAACTGCACATGGCTCCTATGAATCCGGGTATCAGCTCAAGAAATATGAGCCCTCATGAATTTCTTAGAGTTTACGTTTAGGGTTGCGGTTGAGGGTTCTACACCACCCTGGCCATGCACGGAGAGCCATGCAAAGTCTCACAAGCCCCGGCGCTGACTGAGGTTGCAGGGTGCCCATTGAAGTGTATGGGATCTCTCAAGCTCTGCAGATGATGGGTGTAGGGTTTTGGGTTTAGGGTTTAGGGCGCTGGCTGCCACTGAATAAGGATCCCTCCATGTGGAGGGTGTATAGGAGAGAGTGTATGGGGTCTCTCAAAGCGGTATTTCTTTTTTAGAGGGATCCCTGGCTTGACAAAGGAAACTGGCGTCTGTGAGGCTCTGTCATACACCATCTTCAGAAAGCTCGGCCAACAGTGGCTAGGAGCTCAAGAAACATACCATCAACTCGATTGGTCTCACCCTCCTGTTCTCACAACCTATCTTCAACTCCACCCTACACCGCAAAGCCCCCCTCCATTTACCATATCTGTCAAGTTTAGGACCAATGGAGCCACCTCGTTTGTTGGCTGACATCCACATCCGATTCACAGTCGCCCCTAAGCCCAGTTTTTTTGAGTGAGAACAGTCCCATTCATTGTCAAGCTCTTGTAACGGCAAGCCATCTGATCGCAGCATCCATCACACCTGGTATACCCAGTCAAAGGTTCAATCAGTACGCTTCGGAAGCAACCATGCAAGACTGAATCGACCCACCAACACACATGATCTCCCTCAAGTCATTCCAGCAATTACTGATGTTTAATGTATACTGGAAAGGGAACTTCACGATGGTCTTGACAACGAAACCCAAGGCAAACCTCAATTTGGGTAGGCGACCGCTGTAGATTCAAAAATGGTACCCCTAGTTTGATGAAACGTTCATTTCAAGAAACAATCCCCTTTGCAGGGCCTCGACTGCATCCACCACTTCCTCCACCGCGCTGTGCTCATCGAAGCTACTCCAGGCTTTGAGATCCTGAAGGGTTTAGGGGTTAGAACGATTACTCCTGCTCCTGCTCATACTATTACCCTTAGTGCTAGAGCAAGTATTCTATTATTCCTCCCCTTAAAGTTACTGATATTGCTAGTATGACTACTATGATTACCATTTACAATTAGTACTCTTATTACCTGTATTTTCATTGCATGCATTTATACTATTGCCATCTCATATTAAGGATGCTTGTTAAGAACAAGGACTCTGCTGAGATTCTCCTGGTCCTCATCTGAGGGTGTTCGGGGGCAAAGTTGATCACAAGTCTACACCACCATGGGGTACTCGACGAGGAGCTGAGTTAAGTCATCTGGCATTCTTCAAGCTGTAAACTGTCATCCCCCTACACCCAGAATGGGCATATCATTTTCAACAATTCCTGAGGTTTTACCATTGTAAGAAGAAGACATAATTCTAAGGAGACTACAGCAAGGGGATAAATTGAACCGGAACATGGTTGCCCTTCAAACTTCCTCGCTCTGACTATGCGGTTTAGGCTTACGGTTATGCTTGTTGTGATGGGCCGCATAGCCGGTATCTTGCAACACCCACGCTTTCAGGGTGCAAAAAGCTCGTGCCAAACTTTCCGACATTACTCTCCATAAAACCCTCGAAGATGGCCTCCGTGCGTCCAGAGAGCTCCATGGGATCCTCCTCCTCACCAACACTTTGGCTAGAAGCATGGGCCTTTAGGGCTCTTAGAGGGGGCTCGCCGCGCACAAACATTTGTAAGGAAAGGAACGTCTTTGCAAGCGATGAACCTTCTTGCAAACAGGGAGCTGTCCTGGGGCCCTACGCAACAAATCCACCAAGTTTGACTATCCTGGCCGGTAAACAATGGATGAAGTTCAAATGGGCGTCTGGGGGCTTCCGAATTCTGTCTAGAAATGCCGGTCCCTGCAGCTGCGGCGCATTGATGATGTGGCAGAGGGGAAGTTTGAGGGTCATCTTCAGGTATAAGAAACGGGATACCCCAAAACATCCTCCCGTCTTTTTGAAGGAGGGGACTGCATGTAGAAAGCCCGGAAAGGTCATAAGTGAAAAGTACAGGTGCGGGGACCTTGCAGGCGCCGATAAACCCAATTGCCAAACCCTGGGCCCCAGAAACTGAAACTGAACCCAATCCCTATACCCGAATATACGTCCCCCAACCCCCTTAAGCCTGAGCCTTTCAACCCCCCAAAAAAGGGCACCTGTGGATGGGAAATCGAAGCAACCAAGGCACCTCCACCAAGGCCGGGTAAGGGTTTAGAACTAGGGTGTTAGCCTAGGGTCTAAGGTCGAAGGCTTGGGTTTTTATCGTCTCGTTTTCAGCTGGCAAAAAAAACAGTAAGAGCAGGCAAGCTCGGCCATTACCCCCAGCAGAAAGCGCCGCAAGGGCTCAGGGTTTACGGCTTCAAGAGATGACCGTCTCCGCTGCCATTTGTCACATCCCCATCTGCTGATATGATTTGTCTCATAGTAGCCCGCATGTACAAATGAATATAAAAATAGACACATGTTTACATGATATAGGGCGCCTGCTTTGATATTTGGGGATGGGGAGGGGTGGTAGTACTTAATGTTGGGTGGTGGGAAGGTTTTGCTAACATGTGGCGGGCTGCTGTCCAGCAAGTCATGCAGCGCTGTGAGGCGGCCAGCTATCCTCCGCATGCGTATGCCCAGGCTAATGTGCAGCTTGGCGACGCACCGCCGATTGCCTTGACATTGCTCCCTGGAGCTCCTCATCAGCTACCTGTCCAGACACCCTATGATGGCATGAATCTTGATGAGTTCCTTGCTGCTACCCCTCAGCGTATGCCGCCTGTTCGCAGGATGATGTGGCAACTCCACCAGCACAACATGCATGCCCCGAGGCGCAAAGGGCATCTGTTTGATGTTGATCAAATTGTCCAGGCTGATCGTCGTGAGCAAGTTGCTTGCATTGTTTGTGATGTGTCCAAGAAAAAGGATCATTGGGAGCGCTTATGCAGCAAAGTGTGCCCACATGCTGCACGAGGCAGGTATGAGGCTTCATGGGCTCGTGCACTCCGTAGCCTCAAGCTTGCTGTTGATAAACTGCGCCAGCCGGCGCCTGACTGATCCACTCGTGACTCTGCATATCGCGGGGTAACCTTCGGTATGTATGTGGACAAGTTGGGTGGTGGGATGGGGTGGGGGTGAAATCATTCTGTAGCAATCTTACGCAGGGCCTATATCAAGGGGAAATTAAGACTACATGCCTAATACGTCGAGTCTGGTTTATACGTACAAAAAGGGCATGCTGTACGCTACCCACAAAAAGGTGTACAAGGCTTCTACGTAAAGCACGCTGCCACGAGTCCAGTCTGCAGCAAGTCCTCAACCCTAAACCTTGAACCCTAAACTCCCAACAACAACTCGCGACTCGGGTTATGTTGAGGGGCTTAGAAATTGAGGTGTTGAAGCTGGGCATCCATATCGCCAGGCAACATCGGGCTATTGTTTTGGAGGGTGCTGAAGGGATGTGTAGCAGTATAGACAGGCTATCTGGGGAAAGTTCCTAAACCCTAAGCCCTACACCCCAAGACCCTCAAACCAAAGCCACGTGACTGGCAACAGCTTACGAGTCCTTAAGGGAGGGTGGCGGAGTGCATCCCATACTCTAGGTGGACCCCCCACCCAGTGATAGAGACTATTATGGATAATAGGGATTATATTAGGGTCCTCTTATATTCTTATTATACCACTATTACAGGGTGGGGGGGTTCTCCTAACCCATACTAATCAAATAGCTAGAATACAAACCCCCATAGCCCATGTGGGAGTTTCTCAAAATTAGGGATACCTTTTTCGGGGGTCCCAATAAGTAATAAGAGTCATAATTTTGGAGTTCTATATTGGGGTCCCCTTATTGAGGGAAGCTACCGTGTATTCACCCGCTCCCCCCCACTTGACAGCAGTAAGACAGTGGGGGACTCTAACCCTAAACCCTAAACCCTAAACCCTAAACCCTTGGTTGCAACTTGAGTCTAGCTAAGCCAGGTAGGTTGCATGCTAACGGTCTTCTGGCCTAGGGTTTGAGCTTGGGTTTAGGGTTGAGGGTTTAGGGTTTTGGCCTAAGCCTTGAACCCTAAAACCTTAAACCGAAAAACCTTAACCTTAAAGCCTATAGGGCCCAGGGGTTCGGGCAGTTTAGGGCCCAGGGCCTCTTTTTTTTAAGATGCAACACGGTAAAGCCAGGTTTAGTCTAAAGATTAAAAGTGAGCTTTACAGCCCCTAGCCGCTCCAGTCCAAGCCTCATTCCGCGAGTGCACTTTCAGATGTAAACCGCAAGGACACCGCCAACCCTGTCGAAAACCAACGAACCGGAAATCATGAGTGAAGTGAACTCCCAGGGCCTCCTACAGCAACAATGGGCTTAAGGTCTAGAAGTTCAAAGAGCCCCTTAATAAGAACCCTCTAAGGACAGCTACCATGAGGGGACTGACCCAAGGATAATGGGTTTAGGGTTTGGAGTAGAGGGCTTAGGGTTTCCTGGAGTTTTTGCCACGTGGATGGCTGAGGCAGCATCGCAAGGATCAATCTGGAACGTCCAACTGAGAACTTACAGCAAAAGGCCTCCATCAGAAGCTACGACCCAAAAGCTCCAAAAGGCTCCAATAGACTGCCTACTGGTTTAGGGTTTGGGGTGTAGGGATTAGGGTTTGGGGTTTAGGGTTGAGGGTGTACTTTTTAAGGGTTTTGGTGTTAGAGACTAGGGCTTCAGGGTCAAGGGTTCGGGTTCCGGCTCTTGCATTTCAAGGCTTGCGTGGCGCGCAATTCATGGCGCTGGCTCCAAAGTGCAAATAAAAAAAGGGAATAAGAGAAAGCCATAAGAATACTACTACAAAAATATGAAATGATTTTTCCGTTTCAAACTGTGAATAATGACAGTACCAATGTGATACACAGCCCAGTCGTTCCAATATGCTTTCCCATTGATAGCAGGGTGGGCCTGGGCCAAGTTTTCAGAAGTTCCTCTACAGCCTCAACGAGACCTAGAGCCTTCGCAATCCTGAATCCAGCAAGAATCGGTCTTGAACTTCGGTTGTGATGTTCTTAGAGTCTGCAATGAAGCACCGTGCCTTGTTGAGGAGTCCAGGATCCCTATACACTTTCCCCAAACGACTTTTAGATAAAAAATAATTATGGGGAAGATAAGCGCCTTACCAACTCCCAACACCGAAGAGGACCTCAATCCTTCTCCATTACGCCTTTTGACTTTCTTGCCGCGGAAGGTACTTGGGCTCTGGAATTAAGGTGGTGCTTAGGCGTGCGTTTTCCAGAGCAGTTCTCCAAACAGGGGTCTCTTTTTACATCTCCCAAATAGACGGCCTGCGCTAGTATGGGGAGCTCTAGAAAAAGAACCATACTTTTCAGAAACACCTTCAAGTAATTGTGGTACTTCATAGGGGTCAGTCTCTCAAATCATGATATGGTACTTTCCCTAAATAGGGGGACCCAATATAGACCCCTAAATACTGTAGTCCTTATTATAGGGCCCCCCAAAATGGTACCCCGGATTTTGGGAAACCCCCATATAACGCGTCTGAGCAAGGCACCCGCTACCGCAGGCATAGTGGAAGGCTGGGTATCCTGTTAGCGGTTGGTAGAAATCTTGCAGGGCGTGGGGATTCACGTTTGGTAGATGAGGATTCAGCATGTTGGCATCTCGATTGTGGCCGAATCAAAGGTTTTCTGTTTGGCTGGCCTTTGAAATCTGGAGTGGTCTAAGGCAATAGGGCTTGAGGCTTACGATGCATGGGAGCGGTTTGGTATTTTGGGGGTTTGGCACTTGGGATTTCTCAACATGGGGTGCCCTCAGGGACTCTAGGGATCCACTTGTTCAACTTAACAGAACTTCGGATTAGGGGCTCGGTCAGGACTCTCGCGTCTAGCGGATCTGCTGAGTTCTGCTGCAACAACTCTCGCATTAAGTGCCACCCTGTTTATCAAGCCGCCCTGTGAAGAGTTCACATCATCAGCCACAGCTGATGCTGCTGAATCCTATCCCTTCTACCAAAAAAGCATCTCGCCCTGATACTCAAACAGCAGTAAACGTTCCCCCTAATAATATGGATAATGGTACTACATTGGAGGGTAAAACTATTAGTCGGGTTGGGGGTGTTGTTATAAAGGGGGCGGGGATGAACGGGAGCGTGGGGTGTAGGGACTGTATAGGGGACTGTACAGGAGAGATGAAAAGGATAAGAGAACAGAAAATTACATGGAGACTGAAACTATGTAGGGGCTTATATTTGTAACCCTTAACCCTAAACCGCAACCCTAAACCCCAAACCCTAAACCATTTATTTCTAACAGCGAAAATTCGCTGTGCTCTTTGCATCACTGGTTCCCGTGTCTCACACACAACCCTAATATGACCTACTATAGTAGCTTCCATTTTCTTTTCCATTATTATCCCTATATAACCCAAATATAACCCTCATATTCGATCTACTTAAGGGGGACGACAACCCTAAACCCTAAGTAGTAGCTTCCATTTTCTTTTCCATTATCCCATTATATCCCCTATAATGCCAATATAACCCAGCTGAAGTTCACTCGTACCGAGTTGCAGCCTACTAAAGCCCTAGGATTCTAGGAATTATATTGGGGGTTATATAGCGGTTATAGGGAAGAGTTTAGGGGCTCTACAAGGATTATAGAGACTACCCTACGGTGGATACTCACAATCCTGCACGATTCTAAGTACCTTATACCTTGGGCATGATGGTATCATGGTATATAGAGGTCAGGCAGGATTTTTGGCATCAACAGTATGAATGCATAAGCCCCAGACATTTTTTGCTACCACCCTGCAGAAAACTCCCCGTCTCATCGTCATCAACACTGAGGCCCCTTCTGCGAACATCCAACTCGCACGCTTGCGTCTCTACAGCCCACTATTCTGACATCTGAAGACCTGGACGCTGTGCAAGAGGCAGCTCCCTCGACCGTGCGCATTTTGAGGCTTCATGCACGCCAGCTTTTGGATTCAATTCTGCAAATTCCCCTAAACCCCTAAACCCTCAACCCTTTCAAGCCTCAGGTTCCCAGGCCCGAGTCTGGAGTAAGGTTGCTAGGCAGTACTATTAGACTACTTATTCATATTGGGGTTATATTGGGGTTATATTGGGGTTATATTGGGGTTATATTGGGGTATATGGGGATAATGGAAAAGAAAATGGAAACTACTATATTCTAGATTATCTTAGCCAATCTGGCAAAGAGAGACAATCTTCTCTCAAAGCTACGGGCTCGATGTGAACCTTTGATGCGATGCCACCTTTTCTGTGCCATTCTGGGTGCGCATGTGCGCAAAGTGACAGGGCCTAGACGCCCTGCTAGCTATAAACAAACATCGAAACATGATTTTCCATGGGTTCAGGCTAGAATATGCTTGCAAGCATCTTTGCGCAAGTCCCCCAGATCCAGCACCTAAACCACTACCCCTCAACCCCTAGAAGGTAAGCCCGAACCCCCAACCTACGTGCAACCACGAACCGACTGCTCAATCCTTTTGCCCTGCTTCGGGAACACAACTGGGTACGAAAAGCCACCTAGCGAGGAACCCACTAATTCCAAATCCAATTCCTCCAAGTGACGCTACTACATCAGGAATCCCTAAAGTAAGGAGTACTTGAACCCTAACCCTAACCCTTGCTTCTCCTCGGGCTGCTGAACAGCCACCTCGTTTGCCTCAAGCTCAAGTTTGGCTCTCCAAATTCTATGTGGAAGGCGTTGCCGCGAGGCTACCGATATTGGAATAGGAGTTCAGGGTACTAGCGATTTAGAGCTGAAGCAGTTTTGGGGCTATATCAGGGAGTAGACTAAACTACAAGAGGCACCCCTGTGACCACTGTTAACAGCCCCCTAGTAAGACTTCTATTTACAGTAGCTCACGTGAAGTCACACCTCCCTATGCTCACGCAGGATTGGCGCCAGTCGCGGTAAGTCATCCAAGAAGAAGGTTTGGCACAAACCAAAAACGGTGTGAAAATGGTGCGTGGCATAGGACTGGGACAAAACACCTTATTCAATGATGCCTTGAATCACCAAAGGTACGCGGCATTTGGAGGCATCACGGGAAGCCACGCGAGGAACGGCGAAACGCCACGTGCGCGCGGTTGTCCAAGCAGGTTTTGCAACAGCAAACGCGGGGCGCGTGGCATGCGAATTGTTGGTCAAACGGCCCAAAAAACTTCATTTCATGTTGTTTAGTCATACAAATCACCAAGGGCACGCTGTGTTGTGAGGCATCATGTTGTCTCGCTGTCTCAAAACAAGTTTTGCAACAACACAGAAAACGTCGCGCGAAATTACCTGTTGGTCAACCCGACCAATAAGACCTTATTTCATGTTGTTAAAAATGTTGGCCTACTTCTGGCACTGCGCGAGGTTCATGCGAGACTGGGCAAGACTTCCAGCATCTCCCCTCTTACAAGATAGAGAACGCTGCCAGTCGCCGAGATGGAAGATGTTGCTACAGCTTTGCCTTGGACAAACCCCACCAACTACGCACATGTCGATTGAAAAGAAGAATGCCCCACAACGGCAGATGCTGCTTACAACTATGCCCTGAAACAGCACTCCAAAGTACAAGGACGCGCGGAGATATTCTAGATACTATGGCCACAGACGGGAACCCTCAAGTACGCGTGTTTGAAAGTCACACAAACGAGAAGTGGCACATTTATAATGCCATGGTCGCAGATGAGAACCCCAATTACACGCTTGCCAGTTACAAAAACGTGCACGAAGATATTCAAGATTCACAGCGCTAGGGCCATAGATGAGCGTACACGCGCTTGCAAGTCACAAAAACAGTAATGAAGATATGGTAGTTTCCCAAAAGAAGCGGACCCAATAAAGACGCAAAAAAACTATTATCCTCGCTATTGATTATTCTGACCCCAAAGTGGTAAGCATAATCTTGGGAAACCTCCAAATTCACAATGCTGCGGCCGTAGACTGCGGCACGACGTCATGCTAAACCCCCAAAAACCTCATGTCCCCAACACTCTGAAGCCTTAGTAATGAGCCCTTTTGAACGAGGACTCCTTTTTAAAAGAACACTAAACTATAGACCCTAAACCCCCTAAAAGCAGAATATGGGCCAAACAAGTAGATAGGGATATCCCGCTGAAACAGTCAGTCAATCCCAAAAAAGAAGGGATATCCCCACAGAAGTCTCTGCTTGGCTTCCCTAAACCCTAAACCCTAAATGGCAGTTTCCCAAAATAGGGGACCCAAATATAGAGCCCAACATACCATAATCCTTACTATGGGGACCCCCAAAATGGTACCCTAAACCCTAAACCCTAAACTCTAAACCCTAAACCCTAAATGCTCCTAACCAAAGAGCCTTGGCCGCCGGTTGCGGGGGTACGTTGGCTCCAAAGCCGGCTCCTGCCTCTTCTTGCTGTTAAGGAACTTAAATTA